AAATCTCACAAAGGGATTTTCAAGTTCACTTGCACTGGTCCGTTAGAGTTGCATGGTCATACTATCCAATTTTACTTGTAAGGTTGTCAAGTTCAAAAAGCTTCAGGATTTCTGAATCCTTTGAAACGTTTAAATGCATGACGATTAGACATGGACGCCCATACACGTTGATATGTGTAAGTCAACAGTGTAATAATTTGCCACCTGTTTCATGGCGAGACGTATTTAACAAAGTACTTGAAAGTACATTTCAGTATTTATCATTAAATAAAACCTTATATTGATATTTACTCTACGTCAACTGTTTCAATTAAACAAAGATACTTTCATAACACACTATTGAAATGCGTTTAGGTTGTGAAGCCCTAACACGAAGCCTTGTTACAATGAAGATGATATTACATGTTAACGACCATACCTGGCAATCATTTCAACATACACAGGCGAACCACATAAGACCCTACTCGATTGTCCAGTTCACCATCATAATACAGTTCCATACGTTGCGGAACAGAGAAAGTATATACTGGGTAATCGAGAACTCCATTAAACCGGACACCGAGGTTTCGGGAATAGGTTTTCAGTTTGGTAAATGTAGATGCGCTGATCTCGGTTCGAATCCCAGATTGGGTTGATTGTGGTCCTCGGTTTGTCAGCAGTACTCAGCTCCATGCCAATGTTCAGGGGTTCTCCAAGGGTCGGACCTGTGAAGATCCGGGGTAGAATAGGCCTTCAGCAACCCCTGCTTGTCGTAAGAGGCGACTAACGGGATCGCTGGTCATGATGAGGCTCGCTGACTTGGTTGATGCATGTCATCGTATCTCAATTGCGTGGATCGATGCTCATGGTGTTAATCACGGGATTTTCTGGTCCAGACTCGATTATATACAGACCGACGTCATATAGCTGGATAATTGGTGAGTGCGGCGTTAAACAACAAAATAAAACACACACGTGTTGTTTTGAGAAGTAAAACCTTGACATATTCTAAATAGGATAGAATAACATGGATCTGCTCACCATCGTAAGCACCCAGACGAGAGTTTGGGTTACAAGATGTGCCCAGCACCACACACACACACACACACACACACACACACACACACACACACTGACCGGGTGGTCAGGTTTCGGTGACTTGGGTTGGTTTATTGCATGTCATCTTACCCTGGCGAAATGGGACGTTGCGCGTAACATCAATCACTGGATTGTCTGGTCCAGAATTGATTTTTTACAGACCGCTGTCATAGAGAGCTGGGATATTGCTGAATGCGGCGTTAAACTACAAACAAACAAGGTCTTCGTAACCTCTTATTGGCGTCAGTGTTCCTTCACCACATCAGCCCCACGAGAAACATGCTGTTGTGTTACACTATCGCAAATGATTGGTTTGGTTTGACATGTACCCTGTACTACCCGAATTGTGTCGTCTCGACATTCTCCACCCTTTTATACATACTCAATGACACCGATCGTTCCGAGTCAGTAACGCCATATAATAGTACCGAAGTATGTCATGTTGGGTGTTTCGTCACTTATTGCTCACCTGATGCAGTTACACGATCACGTGGGATGCAGCTACACGATCACGTGATATAGAGGCAGTTTATTAAAGGCACATGATAACATTATTTTCTATATTTTGATTATTTTTTTAAATAAAGTTATTTATTTTTTTAAAATTACACCCTCCATTTAGTTTAGAATTTAGTGTTAACGGCTCAAGACCCTGATTTTTGGACGCGCGTACTGTTCGTGACGTCACAGTTTTGGGTACACATTTTTGCCAATTTATGCCATCACCGGTAACATCTCATCTCATCTTTGAAGCCCATCTCCAATAATCAAGTTCCTGGTTGTCTTTCCCACTTGATGAGGTCAATAAATATATGTTAGGGGATTTCTTTTTCTTTTTCGATTATAAATCATATCAAAAGAAAATTAAAACTCTAATTTGAACTTTGATATGAAAATTTATATAATGCGTTATGTGTGCTCTTACATTGTGCATATGAACACGTGCCTTTTCAAAACGTTTCTTCATTTGATAGAAGATTGTGAAGATTAAAGTCTTTACTTCGCGGATGTAGAGAGATTTATGTCACTTTGTTCAACGCAAAGTGAACGTGAACTTACAAGTTAAGAACTTAAACACATGGAGTCCATGATATAGTGCGAGCAATAAACCCATGAAACCAGTTTGGATTAAGCATCGCCTATTGTAGTATCTGTCTGATACTCATCTTAGTGTTCGCCAGTTTCTCGGGTACAGGTCAACATTCTACAGATCAGCACGTCACAGAAGGCTGATGTTAAATGTAGTGTAATTCTCCACTCGACCGTCAAGCCGGTAGTGCAGTAATACTGACAGTCCTCGTTACAGCGCGAGGCACGAAGGCGTTAGTGCTGATATTGTGTCAAAATAGTGTATGGTGTGTTTTTCGATGTGTAGATATTCAATGGACATAAATATATACGCGAAAATCAATACCTGTAAAGATTGTTGGTCAGTTGTTAGTGTTTTTGTAATACGCGGAATGAGTGTTATCCAGGTGTACAATGCCTTTGGTGTTTGGATTTTAAATACATAAAAAGATTAATTGCACATAATTTGCTATATACACATTCCCTAAATTGATTTCGGTCTACACTATCCACTAGGAATGTTCAAACATACAAATATTCCACACGAAAAGTACATGAATTTGATATGCTTTATCGCCATTATTATCCTTGTCAGCCTTATATCGGGGTATGTTGGTAGACATTTGGCATCTGACTTAATATTTAGCTGGGAACTTGGGGCACATTTGCCCATCATTCTCTCACTGGACGCAGAGTGGTTCGGACCTCAGATAATGGGTTATAGTGAACATCTTCAGTAACATCATTATCAGCAGCAGCATCCATGCAAGGTAACAGCAACACGAGTTACCCTATGTAGCCATGTCTGGTATTATTCGTGTTTGTTGTTTTATGTAAACATTAAAGTATTTATGGTAGACATGTTACGATTTAATTTAAAAAAAGAATTCATATGTGTTTCCTTAGAATTGTGATAAGAAAATATTTCTTCTGTTTTTATAAGAATCTACAAGGGTAAAGTATTATGGATTTGGATTATATAACTATGTTTGAGTTACATCAACAAAAGAGAATGTGCATATTCAAGAGTCAACTGTTTGGAAATTGTACTCGACAGATGAGTATCAAAGTAATGTTGTTATTTCTCGAAAAGTTAGTAAATCATTTACTTAATCTCGATATGTAAGAACTGATATTTGATACGGGTATCAGACAAGGCGATTCCTTAACACCAGCCGTATTTGTATCAGCCAAGCTGGTACATGTAACTCTATAATTTAGATAAGTATATTGTCCTTATTAACTTGATGAATCTCGTTAACGACCTTTCATCCGACCAGTTAGAGCGTCGCTTACCAGATTATGAACGTGACAGTCGGAATGTGATTTCGAATCATGCAACCTCGAAAACTTCAACACGGGGTATTCCGAACGATAGTTACGGGTTTAACGACTGAATCCATACAACTTAGACCATCTATTAGTCATTCAAGAATGTTGTTTTGTTCAGGTTTCAAATTTGTAATCGAGAATTTGTCAAAATATGTTTCGCCAATTTGAAATAAGTGCCGTAAAGCACGAGAAAGTTGCGGTCCAAGTTCGCGCAAGGTCGTTCTGACGTGACCCGTAATGGGATGTCCTCAGATTTTTGTTAAGCGGTAGCGAGAACAAAGATCTGATTTTAATGAGATTGTTCGTTGTGTTTTCGTCATCTTGGCTGCGGTAACGCGCATCACTGTAGTAGCACGGCAGGGCATGTGTGTCTACGTGTCTGCTAGCATCCCCCATCGGTTAAATATCTGCACCCATACGGAGCTGCACGTCGGCTGTTCTAATTACTGAGGATATGTACCTTCAGCGCTGATACCACACGTTTCCATAGCTTGCAGAAAGACATAATTAGATCATGATGTGAGACACTGACATGGATTCTTCCTCTAGGTTCCAGGGGGTATTGTTTATACGTGAAACCTTAAGCATCGGAATAGTGACATGGGGTTCCAATAGGAAATAATCTGGAGGGAATAGTAATGTGTGGTCTCGATATAACTGCATCGTCATCATTTTTATAATAATTATCACAATTACTTTAATGCCTGGGTACAATGTGTGGAGCCCATTTCTGGTGTCCCCCGCCGTGATATTGCTGGAATATTGCTAAAAGCGGCGTAAAACCATACTCACTCACACACTACTTTAATGCCGATCGCTTCTGTGATCTAGTGGTAGAGTCTGACCGGAGAGCGGGGGTTCGATCCCCGGTCGCGTCATACGAAAAGACTTTAGAAGATGGTACTTGTTGTTACCCTTCCTGGTGCTCGGCATTAAGGGGTTAAAACAAGGACTGGTCGGTTTACTGTGTCTGAGTGGGGTATTCATGTTAAGCTGCGGCATGGTATCTCAGTTGGCTAGCACTATAGAATCGGCACACACACACTCAAAAACACACACACACACACACACACACACACACACGTGCATGCACGTCGCTATATGACAGCCATTATCTTGAACGGGACGTTAAACCCCATTTCACCATCACCTCCCCTTATGCCATGTACTTCATGACACAGTGAACGAAATGTCAAGATGTATTCATCCAGATATTAACAAATACATGACGCACGCTACAATCCCTATATAATCACTGTAGTGGCTTGTTTGAGGAATGAACAGTTCAAAACCATCGAGATGACCGGAGTTTCGAGAGTGAAGTGAACGAAAGTATCCGGAGATAAGCAGGGTGCCGAGTCAACAGTGTTGGACGGTAGTTATTTGTTATGTGCCACTAAGTAGGTTGTTCCTCCGAAAGAAGTAAAGGGTTTAATAAGGGAGACAGGGGCCACAAGAGGTCGTTTTGCGTTGTTTGATAGATGAGTTTAGACATGACCTTGACATTGCTATTCTGTTTGCAGGTTGAAGTGATATAGGAAAATAAATAGCCAGCATGGAACCAGTAGAAAATGGCGAAGCAGTCCGAGACATGGGCGCGAACCGTCAGTTCACTGACCCTGACTTTGACACGAGTGGTAAGTTTGTTTGTTTGTTTGTTTGTTGAATAACGCAATATTCCAGCTGACATGGGTCTGTAATTAATCGAGTCTGGACCAGACAATCCCTTGATTAACATCATGGGCTTCGATCTACGCAATTGGGATACGATGACATGCATCAACCAAGTCAGCGAGCCTGACAGACCGCCTCTTACAAGTATGGTCGCTATTTACGACAAGCAGGACCTATTACCGACCCGGATCTTCACGGGTGGAGTGGAAAGTAAATACTGCAGAGGTGTAATATATTGCTAAAATCTAAAAACGCTGACTTTGACACGAGCGGTAAGAAAATAGATTCATTTTGACAATGAGAAAAAACTTATTATGTAAGTATGATGAGAAAAAAGCTCATTATAGATGTATGACACTGAGTAGGTCTGTCGATGTAGGGTAGGTTTGTTCACGTGACAGCCTCGTGCCGTTTGTAGCATGAATAGTTGTTGATAAGGTTTACTTTGAACTGCATGTGTGACGTGAACTGGTGATGCATAACACAAGATGAGATAAGCCAAGCTAAATATAACACCTTATAACGTGATATGCGTACTGTGCAATGAGACACATTCACTCATTCCAGCCTTGCTGCTCCATGTTTAGCAACGTTTTTGTCGTGAGAAGAAATAAGGGTCGCGAATTTAGCATGGTATCATTCCTGACCATGAGTTCTCTGCTTGAGTTGAATAGTTTTGTGTTGGTGATACGTTACCACATGTGTTTTGTCTGCTCTCTTTGAAGGTTTGCTTCTTTAGTGTTGTGACGAGACTATATGTAATAAGCCTCAATCCCAACAGAACGTAGCCTCTTCACTCGATCCAGTCCTGTCTGTGAACATACGAGTTACTTTAACTATAAAGAAGCTTTCAGGGCCAATTATCATGACCATAGGTTTGTGTTTATGCCTACAGTTAATCTTGTAACTAAATACAGATTTATTCAAGAAATCGACATCAAAACTACCCTTTAAACATTCATCTTTCGTTTGTTATTTGCCTCTTGCGTCATGTCATTTTGACCAAGATCATTTGTAAAACTGGTCCGGCCTCAGGACACACTCAGAAGTCATCGGCCGTTTGCGGAATGTTCATCCCATTCCGCCAGCTTGGTGTAGTTTTACTTCTGCCGTGATGAAGTCAGACAGTTTCGTAAGTCTCCGTCAAGCTCTTCCCGGAGCACGCCATATGCACCTATTCTCGTGTCTAGACGAAGAAACGACGTCATTCTATAATAACGCTAACAGGACAGTTTCACTGAAATTCCAACAAATGTCACATCATTTGCTTTACACAACGCGAAAGAGTAATTCACCTAAAGGATTTAACGTTGTAACCAGTACGTTTCACTGTCAAGATGACACAGTGATAAATCGCCGGCTAGTCAGTGCATAAACCTCCTAAATTTTCACGTATGACTACGCCATCCCGTGTCGATAACCTCTCAGACTTCACGCCGTGGTTAATGACGTGCCTACGGTTACCCTTCACCGACCAGACGACACTAATCTCGAACCCAGATCTCTCAAGCTTGCAGCAAAGGTTTGGTTCGAGGATACTCAGCACGTGTGTATATATCTGTTCGGAACGCAGTTTTGTACGGAGAGTATTTTCTGCACTGCAGTGACTAGCTGTATATCTCCATCAGAGTATAGCAAGTCATGGCAGGCGGAAAGAAGTGAGGTCATCATCAAAAATAATTTCCTTTATTTCTGTTGTTTTCACTCATGACAGACAATGGTCCTGTAAGTACCGCCAGACAGAACATAATGAAAGCCCATCATTAGTCTGCATATATAACACGTACGAAACACAGACTAATATCCTGTACAGGAAATTAAATTATACACTTTATTCCTAATATATCATGATTACGATATATAAACTCAAAAAGGTAATACTCTCTTTCTCATTCTCAGAAGCGTTGGGACCTTGTTTTAATTGTGAGGAAAACACCTAATTTCGAATGTAGTGTCAAACGATTTTTGTGAAGAATCACTAAACGGGAAACCTATAACGTATTGGGAACATTAGGCAAGTTCAACTTACTGATAACACTATCTATCTTGTGGAAATTCAAAACGGAACATGTTAATTCAAAATGAAACTGGTCATACACGTGATAACGTCATGAACACAAATTAGGGTATGGATACGACGCAATATAGGTGCACATTGATATTACTTGGTGTGAAAAATGATACTAAATACACCTTCCAAGACAGCATGATTCAGATGACCACAAGGACGACAGTGAAAGTACAGTAAATTACACCTTTTACTAAATGTTTAAATGTTGGGCAAGTCGTGCGGTAACGTGTTGTACTGGCTCTGTTTCTGTACTTGAAGGCACAACTCAAACAAATCAGCATACGTGAATAAGTGTTCTTCGACGGGTTGTGTCCCTTTGTGTGTTTTGTCTTAACATGAACAAGAAACAACGATATACGTCGCATCGTGGTCATTTCCACCTATATAACTACACGTATAGCTGTTTGTTTGGATACGTTTAAGAATGATCACGCTTTGCAACACGACGACTTAAGGCAGCATAATTTGGATTGTAGGATTTATAAATTACACATCGTATTACCTACTAGTGCCATAAACATCTCTACACTGTGATCAAGGGTAAGCTGTTAAAGCAGGTGAATAACACATATAGATTCCGGTATAGTCCATTCTCAAGGATGAGTCTATACGTCATGGCTGGTACCACAGGTTACTGCATACAAGTTAACGGTTCATGGCTAAATACATGGGGTTTTGGCAAACGCCTGAAATAGGGACTTCCAACTGCAATCGATGGTAATAACCCATCTTACATGCTGATAAAAAATCTGTTATAAATTGTGACCCTTGTCTAACAGACATTGTGTCCGAGTAAGGGTGATCATTAAAGGGGAAGTGTACACGCAAAAATCACTTTCTTACTTTTTCTAAACAAAACGCAATTTTAGAATTAGTTAGTATCTGTGTTTGAAAATATACACTCATTTTTTTCACAGTGAAAGTAGGAAGCTCACAATTGTGTGAAAATGATATGCCGTTATGAGGCCTTCGTTTTTCGAGCTAAACAGGCCTGAGTTATCCCCCTTAGATTATGACGTATTTGGTGCCAGTTCAACTGGGTCCCTGTCTATTCTGAACGCAAAAGATATCAAGTACCAGTTTTCGGTAAAACAACATGGCCTACGACACACTCCGGCGCAGTGGTGACTCAGCATTACACTATGCTGGCTGGCATCTGAGACGCTAGAATCACACACCTAGACCTACACCACGTGAAGCGGCTCTAACAAAGCATGATGACGTCATAATGTTTATCAATTGGCACCAATGACGTCATATTGCAAGGGGCATAAGCCATGGTGTTTTTGTTATGGAAATAGAACACTTGGTAAATGTGAAAAATATAAATCGTTTTAATGCAAAACATATGTTAATTAATTGTGATATTTTTATATTTTTGTCTATGACACTTCTAGGTTAACACTTTTATTGTGGAAAAAGTACAAGAAAATTAGGTTCATTTCCGTGTGAACTTGCCCTTTAACGGATATGGTGACACACATGATTGCACTGGAGTTCGCAGTCACACAACTTAAGTTTTGAATGACTTGACTTGATCTTGCTTGGCCTGCCAATTGACCCGAGTCTTGTCCTTGTTTAGAAATCCTTACCATATTCTATGATAAAGGCCTAGTTACATTTCGTTTTCTTTTCTTGAAGTATTTCGTCAGGTTCTGTATTTTCCATTTACCTTAAAGCAGAGTCCATAAGATAGTTTTCGCTTAAAGGCAGGCATCGAACGCGTCTTACGGCGTCTTATTTCTAGGCAACGTTAAACCATACACGTACTCTCTTCGAATTCTGCTTAAATAATACTTCATCGCAGATGATCTACGATCTAAAGTTTCTTCCCACACTCCCAATCATCTTTGCAGTGGAAACGTGACTACAGTGCTCTAAATCATGGTAATTCTAAAGTTGTTTTAACATTCTAAAAACCTTCTTATGACATACACCTGTTCTGTTTCAGTTGCTGATCATCGCCATCAGTATATAGGTCTGCGCCTTCCACACAAACCCAAACGCCCGGGTCGAGGTCACAGTCACAGGCGTACAAAGGGAGAGTACAAAGTCAATGAAGCAGCATCTCCAAGTGAGGACCGCTAAATATTCTTTTTTTCATTTTGGTTTTGCGTGATAGCTTGACGCTGTTATTTCTATACAAGTGTATGCTTAATTTGACTAATAGTTGAATATCTAGTTTTATGCTTTGCTGACAGAATTACTATCTTAGATACTAGTACATATCTCTAGAATTGTTGTACGCCATTTCCAGATTCTCTCCAAATTAGCTCAAGGATTTGGTGTGGCCTTTTTCTCGTGTTATTATGATACTGATATTTATTGATCTATCGATCTATTTTTCCTTCATTCTCTGTTATGATACCACTACCTCTTCCGTCTGTTTACACCTGAACAATTGCAAGGTTCCATAAATTATCCTACTCTGTCTTTTATCCGCTTACTCTCGAACTTGCAGATGAGGATGTATATATTCCACCACAAGGTAATCGGGCTGGGTTATCACTTTATATCTCTATCTAACAATGCCACGTTTGTGAACACTCGTATATCCTCGGCAATACGACTAGATGCCGGAAATGTACGAGTATTGGCGAATGTAAAGTTCGATGATACTCACTTTACGAGAAATCATCGCTAACCTCATTGGAGAATTGGTTGGTTGTGGGATATTGTTCATTCTGACCTATATCTGTTGTTTGTTTACGGTGTAGCGTCTTAGTTGGTCGCTTATGTGAATATTATGTTGTCATATTGTCTGTTGTTGCTCATATATTTTGATGTAGGATATTTGGAGTGGAGGAGAGGAGAATGAAAAACATCATTATTTTTAACGTGTTAAATGATTAAAAACAACAAACAATTTCCTACTTGTACACACTTAGGCCAAGAAAACAAGTGAGCGCTAGTACAACATTGTAATGGATATGTGGTTAAAAATGTCAATTATGTTGGGGAGGAAGTCATTTTGTTGCAGCTTTTTGTGAAAGGCATGTACATGTTGTGTGTTGGCGATTAGGTGTCCCTGGCAGTGTGGGTTCGAATCCCGGACGGGACACGACCCAAAAGAAAATGTACTTTACTAAGAAAGTGTTATCCCAAATATAACATTTGCTGCATGTACATGTTGGCTAATACGATGTCATAACATTATTATCAACTTATTCACTTACAACCTTTTTAAACTAGAAATACGGAACACTTATAATCAATGTCACCACGACATCATCCATTTTAATGTCACATCACATTTTATCATAAAACCACACATAATCACTCATAAAATCAACCTATCCATCTTAATCGATGTATCAAGAACCGACGTTTCTTATCGCGACCTGCATTTGTTAAGTATTATATTCCGACATTACTGAATTACGTGAGTTGGTCCAGATATTCTCAACAACCATATTGATGACTCTGATTTACCAGCGATGTCGTCAAAGACTTTTTCCACAAAGGGATCTACTACAATCGCGAAATACCTTACTTTAGCACAGCCTTACAATTACCGTAGCTACTTTCGCTTTGTGCATGTGGGCCATGCAGGTTTAAAACATACACAATCCCGTTCTTATCACCACTGACTTGAGTGGAGTAGGGTGTTTGATTCGTATTATATTTGCATTCTTATTATATTTGATTGATTTAATCTCAATTATCCAATGACGAATTGTCCTCCCGTTCTTTTCAGTCACCACATTTGATTCTTCTTTTACGCTCTGTTGTAAGCATTGCCATCAACTCTGATGTTTAGAAATTGAGAAAACTGATTCCACTCTTGATCTCGTCTGCTCTTCTTGCAGCGTCCTTGACCCCGAGCGAGCAGATTCACCATCTGCTGGACGAGGTGACCGACGACGCCCACCAGACGCACGATGTGTTCTGCCAGATGGACAATCTGTACACACTGGCGGGCGAGAGTGAGTGGCGGGAAATGGCCAGGTCAGCAGACGACAATAGTCATTATATACCAAATGTTTTAAATCGTTTTTTCATGGTAATGACAGACTTTCAGTGTATTGATAGTTTTCAATGTCGGATTCACAGACAAAATTTACATCAGAATACAAACATAATGTAATTTGGTGGCATCAGAATGTAAATCTGAAAACTCAAACGTTATTAATATTATTAAAACAAAATATGATTCTGTAATCATCAATACATTTCGATAATTGATACCTGGGCCCCGTTCCACAAATCGATCGTAGCTCTAAGACGATCGTAACTCCCATACTTAAATATAGACTTACGACTGTCGTAGCACAACGATCACCTTGTGGAACGAGGCCCTGAAAGTCTGTTGACTTTGTGTAATTCCTATGTCTTAATAACAAGGCCGCCGCGGTAAAATTTAAGTTTCAGCGGTTTGGAATCCCACCTGAGACACCCTCCTAGGTAACGGTGGTAATGTTATGTTACAGATGGGTGAAATACGAGGAGGACGTGGAGGAGGGTGGGGAGCGGTGGTCTAAACCCCACGTGGCCTCACTATCACTCCACTCCCTGTTCGAGCTGAGGAGCAGCCTAATGAGTGGATGTGTTACCCTGGAGATGGACGCCTACCACATCACACAAGTAGCAGGTACTTACCTCCGTACAGTGCAACCTCACTAGTCCGAACTATGCCAAAAACTCTTGAAAGCTCAATTATTTATTATCACGAACATTTGAATCTCATCAAGTAGGACTGTCGTTTATCTGGACGATTTGGAGTTTACGGTCTGGATAAACGAGGCTCCTTTCGACACAGCGGTAATGACGAGTATTTTGTCATTCCGAATTTAGGATTTTCCGAATAATACCCTTTTGAATATGTGTTCGACTCTTTGCGTTCTAAATATATTTTTATATATCAGTAAGATAGTATCACTCACTTAAATTATTTTAAATCATGATTTCATTAAAAATATTTCAAATAGCGTAGGCACTTTAAGGCATGCCCTAAGACCCCTAGAACATACGTCGAGATATCAGTTGTTCGAGACAACTGATGAGTCCACATGAACACAATGCCGATATGATTCTGCTAGTACCATGACGTTACATACACGAGATAGTGAGATAATGTCGAGTAAGCAGGTTCCATTGTACTTCCATATAAGGGTTGTTATATTCATGCCGCTGTAAGACTCCGTTGAAGTTCGATACGTCCTGGTATATGTATATGTTCTTGTTCCAGACCTCCTGTTGGACAACCTGATTGCGTCCAAGCTGTTGGAGGAGGATTTGCGAGACGACATCCGCAACGCCATGTTGAGCCCTCATATATTTCAACACACGAAGCGTCGGAGGGCGTCGCAGGCAGACATAGACAACGCCCCTTTCCTTCGCCGGCTGTCCATGAGGAGGAGCATGTCCGACAAGTCCAGGAACATGTCCACTAAAGGACGAGGTATTGTCCTTATAGTGACATATACGTCTCAATTACGCACATACACATGTTAGAGCGTTTAAAAAAATGCTTAATGCGAGTTGGAACAGTAAGTGAGTATGGTTTTCGACGCTTTAAGCAATATTCCAGCAATATCACGACGGGGGAAACCAGAAATGGGCTTCACACATTGTATCCATGTGCGGAATCAAACCCGGGTCTTTGGCGTGACGAGCGAACGCTTTAACCACTAGGCTACCCCACCTCCCCCAGTTTGAACAGTATTTCAGTTATATCACGGCGTGTTAGTCTGATATGGGAGGAAAGCCCGAAGTGATGCAGATCTCAAACGGTTGGTACTTTGGGGAGACCCACGAGCACGGGTATGGTGCTGACAAACCTAGAAACACAAATAGGATGCTATCGGGAACCCACAGTCATAGGTTCTGGCGCGCCAAAAGGATGCAACTCAAAGAGCATAGCAAATTTTGGCGTCTTTGACGACAGGCCAACCTGTGTCCCCTTAAATTATGTGAACTTAGCGTGCCAGCTCCATGATCAGTCATTGGAGCAATTTAGAACCAATCAAGCACGAGGAGCAGACTCGGTAGTATCATTGTTCAAACATCCTCCCATCACGCCGAAGACAGGTTCGATTCCCCATTTTGGTACAATGAGTGAAGCCACTTCTTATTAGCCAGTAATATTGCTTGAACATTGCAAAAAGCTGCGCCAAATTCACTCACTCTCTAATCACATTAGACAAAAAATGCATGGCCTTGCAGATGTTGTTTGTTTGTTTGTTTGTGGTTTAACGCCGCACAATATTCCAGCAAAATGACGGCGGTCTCTAAAAAATCGAGTCTAGACCAGAAAATCCAGTGATTGGAATCATGAGCATCGATCTACGCAATTTGGATATGATGACATCCATCAACCAAGTCTGCGAGCCTGACCACCCTATCCCTTTAGTCGCCTCTTACGACAAGCATGGGTTGCTGAAGAAAAATTCTAACCCTGATCTTCACGAGTGGCTTGCAGATTACACTGACATCACCTGATTCCAATCCTCACCTGTTTGTTTTACCGAGGTGGTTTGTTTGCAGACACAATGGCCAACTCGAGGAATATGTCTATGAAGAGGAACCCCAATAGTAACCCCAACTTTGAGAACGCGAACGGAGACCTGACGGAGTCTCCTTCTTCAGGAAAGGTAGGGAGCGCGGCGACTTATGGGATCTGCCCTTCAGACAGTTATCGTTGATGAGTCTGAAGTGTACCGTGGATAATCACAGGATGCTCTTTGTCAAGATAGCGATATGTGTTTGTTCAACGTTTATTCCACGTCTTATCTGTCAAGATGAGAAATGTGAAATTTAGAAACATCCTTCTCTCGTTGAGGTGCCGAGACACCGACTGATACGCTGTGGAAGTCTTAATAACAACTCAACAAAACTTAAAGTTAATGACTGTTTAATAACTGAAACTCAAACTTCACTGTCTTCAATGATTCTACTCACAATTAATAGCATAGTAACCCACATGCAGTTCTGAAGTATGTTGTAACATTTCTGTTCGGAAATTAAAAACTCATTTTCTTCAACATGTAGATGCTTATGCTGTGTCATATTAACGAAAAAGAGATCATGCCATTTTGAGCTGGTTTGCGTTTTTCTTAGTTTTCTTAGAAGAAATGAGAAGAACATAAGTAATAGAATTAAACTGCCAACTGTGAAATACTTTAATCTTGCTACTGTTGTTGTCTTCAGCTGAATCAGCAATTCATGAGGAAGATCCCCGAGGGGGCCGAGGCCGCCAACATCATGGTGGGTGAGATCGAGGGCCTCAAGTACCAAGTGGTGGCCCTGGTGAGACTGATAGAGGGGAGGTCTCTAGGTGACCTCACCGAGGTCCCCATCCCAACCCGGTTCCTCTTCTTCTTCTTCGGGCCGCCAGGCAGTCAGGCGAAGAACATAGAGATCGGCAGAGCCATCTCGACCATCATGGTAGATCAGGTAGGTGACGTTCATCTCCTGGTTTGTTTCTGTGTTGGACCAGACAAACCAGTCACTGATTGTATGAGCAACGAAATATGTCGCAGCGCTCTAAGTATGTTCTTTTGTTAGGGAGCCATACGGCTCCTTGCGTGAATATTTTAGGGGCCAGTCTGAGAAAATGAGACAGGACACATGTTTGAACAGGTTTTATTTACGGAGGGACATATGTTTGCAGGGGCTTCCTTGTGTAAAGTCTAAAGATGGGTATTCAATTGTTATAGACAGGTACACTAAGTTATAATGTAAATATTTCCTTTTGACGCAATATCATTTATGTTCATGCAAATGCAAAAGGGTACAAAATACCCTAGGTATTTATGAAACCCCCGTAATTGTATTAACTGATGTCGTTTGTCACAGCTGTGGTGTTTATGCAGGTGTTCTGGGTGTCGTTTGTCACAGCTGTGGTGTTTATGCAGGTGTTCTTGATGTCGTTTGTCACAGCTGTGGTGTTTATGCAGGTGTTCTGGGTGTCGTTTGTCACAGCTGTGGTGTTTATGCAGGTGTTCTGGATGTCGTTTGTCACAGCTGTTTTGTTTATGCAGGTGTTCTGGATGTCGTTTGTCACAGCTGTGGTGTTTATGCAGGTGTTCTGGGTGTCGTTTGTCACAGCTGTGGTGTTTATGCAGGTGTTCTGGATGTCGTTTGTCACAGCTGTGGTGTTTATGCAGGTGTTCCGGGAGGTGGCATACAAGGCCAGGAACCGCCAGGACATTCTGGCCGGAGTGGATGAGTTCCTTGACCAGGTCACCGCACTGCCCCCTGGCGAGTGGGACCCCAAGATTAGGATAGAACCTCCCCAGAGTGTCCCATCACAGGTAAGTGATGACATGCTTTAAAAACAGATACGCACTGTTGGAGACATATCCTCAAAGGGAACCCAAATTGATACTTTCTTTCTTGTAGAACTTGGAACTATAGTTGAAAACAGACAGACCGGCCTTGAATAATGGTTTTAATCTCCTTTTACGATAACGCTAATGTAACGGGGATGTGAGGTGAGGTGAAATTGGGTTTAACGTCGCATCCAAGATTATTGCACTTATAAAGCGACGTGCATGCACGTGTGTGTGTGTGGCTGCTTGTACTAGTCCGGACTGATGCCGATTTAAAGTGCTAGCCCACTGAGATACCATGCGGCAGTTTAACATGAATACCCCACTCAGACACAGTATACTGAATCCGAGCCGACCAGTCCTTGTTTTAGCCCCTTAATGCCGAGCGCCAGACAGGGTAACAAAAAGTACCATCTTTTAACGTCTTTTGGTATGACCCGGCCGGGGATCAAACCCTGGACCTTCCGCTCTCCGGGCGGATGCTCTACCACTAGACCACGGAGGCGGTCTAACGGGGAGGTGACAATGGTGTTTTAGAATCAGAAGAGAATATCTTGACATCAACATCTGACTATTATAGAATATGCAGTCAAAACGTTTTCTGTTCCTCAATAGGAACCCAGAAAAGTTCCCAAACCGATCGAACCGGAAGAACCAGAGGAGGAAGAGAGTCACTGTGATCCGACTCTCCAGAGGAGTGGGAGGTAAGCATGGCAATACCCACATGGTGTCAGTAATACAAAGTAATTATTCAGCAATGGTCCAGGGATAAAACATAGGGTGTTTGCTTTCAGTCTTATCATAATACAATAGGGATTGACAACGTTAAAGACGCTATTCTTGTAGTTCTCATGAAATGAAAGGTGAGCGAGTGAATAGTGTTTTATGCTGTAGTCGACAGCTTTTCGGGAGTCAAAAAGGCCGATCGAAGGTGTATATGTGCACTGTTTTTATCTTAATATCCTGAAAAAAATGTTTGGGTAAAATACCTACCCATGTTTAAAATTAGAAAAAACGCTTCCTTAAAGCCTCTCAAATCAGCCTTTTCGACACATTTTAACCTTAATGTTTTTTATGTTGTTATAAGTTTCAGACATGCAACCGTTGAAAACAAGTCTACAGCTTATTCACTCTGATAACTTAATGAATTGAAAAGGATTTTCTCATTTCTTAAAATAAGCATATCACGTGGTTATGTGTTATGTCTAGGTTGTTCGGGGGCATGATCGCAGACATCAAGCGTAAACTGCCCTGGTATGGCAGCGACTTCAAGGACTGCTTCCACATACAGTGCGTGGCCTCAGTCATCTTCTTGTACCTGGCAACCCTCACCCCGAACGTAACATTTGGAGGCCTGCTCGGACAGGCTACAGATCAGTACATGGTAAGCGAGAAATAAGATAGGAACGTATGTGTCAATTCTAACAAATAACATGGAGTTACAGTAAACTACGGTTATAACGAACTCAAAGGGACTACTAATTTGAGTTCGTTATAACCGTAGTTCGTTATAAGCATATATACAGCATATCAACAGCAAATAGTTGTGACCAAAAAAGTAAGTTCGTTATATCCGTCAGTTCGTTATAAGCGTTTTCGCTATAACCGTAGTTTACTGTATTACTAAGTTAATAAATGGAAGAGTTAAGTGTATTATACATGTATTTGTTAAAAACAACAACGCTGTTTGCTTTGATTATCAACATATAGGACATTAGTCACAACCATATGTAATAAGATACATCGTTATCAGTGATTAACGCGAGAATGCACTTAAATATTTTGTTAACTGATCAAATCCTTTGACGTTTTGATATATTGGAGGAATATTGAATTGAAAATTTTAACTTGAACAACAGGATCCCATTAATGTGACTCGATGCATATTAGGCACAGCCACAAGGTGTAGTAAGCGTTGAACTGGTTGAATGGGACTTTACACTGCCTTTAGGGATATCCGAGGGTGCCGTTGTATAAAGCGATCATATCGCTAAGGCGATCGTAACACTCATTCCTTAACATAGACTTACGACGGCACCGAGGCACCGAGGAATATTATCAATATAATTCATGTCGTGACGGTTTGTTTGGATCTCGAGCGTGACATTCGAAGGGGTAAACTACAAAGTTACCCCAAAGACACAATTGGACAATATATTCTCGTATAGTTTCTCCCTGAAGCTTTCGTCTTTTTAAGCCTCTATTACCACTACACATCACACAAAGTCTTGAATGTCTTCACCCTCCTTTCTCCAGGGGACCATGGAATGTATTCTGACAGCTGCCATCACCGGGGTCCTGTTTGCTCTGTTTTCTGGTCAGCCGTTGAACATCCTCGGCAGTACAGGGCCTATGTTGGTTCTGGAGATGATCCTCTATCATTTCTGTCAGTAAGTCATCTGATTCAGCCTAATCCTATTTCAGCCTTTCACACCCACTCCCTCAGCCCCCACCCAAGATAGACATAGGTACTTATGCAGTACGATACTGTCGATAATTATCAGAAATGATCATTGAGAGTGAAATAAATGTCTTGTTTCAGTGATGCAGTTCCGTCTTTGCATGGTGACACGTGACAGCTGTGTTAAGGCGAAAAATACTCCTTTGAGGGCGTACTCTTTCTGAACTGCTTTCAGTTAGTGGTAACAAAATAGGATTGTTTTATTATTGTATTCTAAAAGATGAATTATAAGAGTGAGTAGGTTTATGGAGTGAGTTTTAGTAACAGGGGCACTAAGAATAAGATTCACGTACTATGTCAACTTTGGAAGGAATCATGCCGGAATCATGCCGGACAAGAGAACGCTTTTTTTAAAAAAAGAACACATATCTTTGAAGTTAGTAACATGGCATTTGATCTTTTACCCTCAAATACAGTATATACACACTAAACTGTTTGTACACAATATATTATGCTCTTTTCACTGGGAGTTATATGAATGGGATATGAAACATTTTGATTTTTGTTTTACATTAAAAAATTGAAACAAAATCAAGAATGTTAACTGTTTGGTCAATAAAAATCAAAAGAAATATGCGCTTACCAATACACATTCTTTTGTTGTTTTCTAGCGACAACCACCTGGATTTCTTACCACTACGTTGCTGGATTGGGCTTTGGACGGCATTCATATTGCTTCTGATCGTAGCATTTGACCTCAGCGCCCTGGTTCGATACATCACTCGGTTCACAGAGGAGAGCTTTGCGTGTCTGATCGCCGTCATCTTCATCGCTGAGGCCTTCAAGAAGCTGGTTGGCATCCTGAAAAAGGCCCCAGTCAATACAAGGCCGGACATGGAGCTCATCTATGACTGTGAGTGTTTCCCACCCAACAGCACCAGCGACAATGGAACACTATGGAACACGACGTTTGGTGACTTGGCCTCCTCCACGGCCATCCCCGTCACCGCCTACAACATCGCGGATGGCATGGAAGTCCTGAACTCCTCCTTGAATGGCACGATGGACATGGTCGTCAACTGGACCACTGTCACCCACGAGGAGTGCACCAAGTTTGGCGGTGAATTGATAGGCGAGGGGTGTGATACACCTCATTATGTCGGTGATGTCTTCTTCCTGTCCGTTCTGCTGTTCCTCGGGACCTTCGTCGTCGCTTCATCCCTCACCGGCTTCAAGAACAGCAGCTTCTTTCCCACATTTGTAAGTAGCATTCTTCCAATTACCAGACCCAATATTATTGTTTCTTTGTTGCGCTTCTTTACGTCTTTATACCATCTCCCCGCCAAATAACTTGTTTTCACATGGATGTGCACATCTACGAGAGCCTGTTAATTTCAAAGCCACAATATTACAGTTATGTCTTAGTGTGTAAGATGAATGTTTGTGAAAAGCCCAAAGTGATGTAGATCTTAGCCGATTACCACAGTAGTTAAACTAAAGAGCAGACTTATGGTCCTTGAAAGCCAAATATTTAATCGATGCGAATCTATGAGTCGAATCAAGAAGAAGTGGATCTGGGAACCATGCTACCGTTACTGCAAGTATCCAACCGATTGTACTACGATTGTTCTACTATCATCTGCAGGTCCGGCAATCATGCGCTGACTTTGCTGTGCTGATCGCTATCCTGCTCATGGTTGGGATTGACGCAGCTATAGGGATACACACTCCAAAACTGGAAGTCCCAGAAAAGTTCCAGGTATGCTACTATATATCTTTTATACACAGGTCCGTGAGATATCGGGTACCAACCTGTTTGTGGGTATCAGAGTAGTGCAGTGTGGTACATAAATCGCTGACAACGTTACTCAATGATTTGAAACAAAACGCATCTGTGACGCCAGTAAGAGGTTACCTGGACCTTAGATCGTTCTGCTATGCTTTAACTTTTAATGTTTGTTGATTGTTTAACGCCGCACAAAGCTATTCCAGCTATTGACGGCGGTCTCTAAATAATAGAGTGTGGACCAGATAATCCAGTGATTGATATCATGAGCATCGGTCTACGCAATTGGGATACGATCTGTTAGTCGCCTCTTATGACAGGCATAGTCGCCTCTTACGACAAGCATGGGTTGCTGAAGACCTTTTCTAACTCGGATCTCACGGATAGCATCATTTTGATAAACATTTTCATATTTCAATTATGTAAATATCCCTGATCACGCGAACTCTAACGTGACTTTGTCACTGCAACTTATCTATAGCCTACACGTGGTGACCGAGGATGGTTCGTCAACCCCTGGAGTGACAAGAACCCTTGGTGGATGACCATTGCTGCCGTCGTGCCAGCTCTCCTCGCCACCATCCTTGTCTTCATGGATCAGCAGATCACCGCCGTTATCGTCAACAGGAAGGAGAACAAACTAAAGGTTAGCTGAAGGGAAATCTTGTTTATCCGGATGTTACCGTTCACATTGAAATTGAACCGGATGAATGAGTCATTAGTGCGGAGTAATGCCCCCTTGTATATATGTCGACCTTCTCACTGTGTTCAAAATGGCACTCATGGGGTATCCAAAGTTGTGTTATAAGATGATGTTTATGTATGATTTAATTGGAAGAAGATATTGGGTTACAAATTATTATTATTATTATTATTATTATTATTATTATTATTATTATTATTATTATGATGTACAGATTAAAATAAAAATTGCAGCAAAGAGGGTTTGGGTTATGCTGGCACAGTCAGGGTAATTAGGCTCATCATCAGCTCGGGGCCCTTGCCCCCCTCTACACGCAGCCCAGACAGCGAATGGGACTAGTCAAACCCACCCAGAACCTTTCGGAAAATGTGAAGACTCCCCAACAATGCAGCCTTCTGCATTACCCAGATTGTCAGAAGGGATGTATTCCTGGTAGCAAACCCGGGTACTCTCCTAATGTCAGTCAACAGATTGGGAGGTACCAAACCTAAGACACCGAGATTAATTGGGAGTCGGACAACTTGGCACTTGGGATGCAAGCGTGACATTTCGAAAGCGAGGTCCGCATATTTGCCATGTTTTTCCTCAATCTTGTTAATCACATTAGTGTCACAAGGGACAGAAAATTCAATGATATAAATGATTTCATTTGATTTATCAAAAAGGACAAGATCCGGTTTGTTGGCCTGGATAGGTCTGAGGCTGTATACGGGCCTTTTCCATTTTCTATGTCGCCCTCTACATACTCTGGGTCGTACCATGGATTGACCTCTGTGTCAAAACTACAAGCATGGCGAAGACAGTAATAAAAAGGATTCAGCCATTCCATATTGTCGCTTAAGATACTGTGTTTATTATTATTTTTATTATTATTATTATTATTACAGAAAGGAAGTGGGTACCATCTGGATATGTTCGTGGTGGCTGTCTGCATCGCCTTGTGTTCGCTGCTGGGCCTGCCGTGGTACGTTGCTGCCACCGTCTCTGCCCTCGCCCACGTTATGAGTCTCAAGAAGGAGTCCGAGTGCACTGCCCCCGGCGAAAAACCAACTTTCCTTGGATGCAGGTGCGTGTCATGTACTCAGTATATAGGTTTTGAGAGGGGACTTTAACATAGTCAGGCACAGTGATAGAGTGAGTTTGACTTTACGCCACTTACAGCAATATTCCAGCCTATATACCTTCAATTCCCCATGTGAGGAATGGAACCCGGTTCGTTAACCACTTTCTAATCTTCACCTCCTTTTTTAATTTTAACATTGTCTATGTACATCACTATCATTCACAAAACATTCACTTCAACAATCACGGAAATCGCTTCCACACAGTGAGTGCAATCAAAATCTTTATAACAATCAACCGATTTGTTTATGAAAGACATAAACATATATGAGCATCTTTTAGATGATAACGGTTTATGTCTAAGGATTTATATTAAGATTCATTGAGCAAAAAAACGTATGTGCTAGCATGTCCCGTCACTTATATGAGGGGAGTTAAAGTGTTTGCTCGTCACTCCGAAGCCTCGAGTTCGATTCTCCACATGTGTACATTGTGTGAAGCCAATAACTGGAGTCACAGTTGGAATACTGCTAGCCGGCTTTAAACCCTACTCACTCACTCACCCACAATGGATATTAGGTTACAATTACCTACGGCAATGGTTACTTCCTTCGATTTATTCATGTAGAATTTGGTTAACACAAGTTGATTCGGATTTCAGGGAGAGGTTATTTCCTTCGATTTAGTCATATATGATTTGGTTAACACAAGTTGATTCGGATTTCAGGGAGAGGTTATTTCCTTCGATTTAGACATGTATGATTTGGTTAACACAAGTTGATTCGGATTTCAGGGAGAGGTTATTTCCTTCGATTTAGACATGTATGATTTGGTTAACACAAGTTGATTCGGATTTCAGGGAGAGGTTATTTCCTTCGATTTAGTCATGTATGATTAGGTTAACACAAGTTGATTCGGATTTCAGGGAGAGGTTATTTCCTTCGATTTAGTCATGTATGATTTGGTTAACACAAATTGATTCGGATTTCAGGGAGCAGCGAGTTACGGCTTTGATGGTCGGTATCCTCAGTGGTCTCTCCGTCCTCTTCACCAAAGTTCTAAAGGTAAGTCTTCATCTCGCGGGGCGGTCGGGTAGCCTAGTGGTTAAAGCGTTCGCTCGTCACGCCGAAGACCCGGGTTCGATTCCCGACATGGGTACAATGTGTGAAGCCCATTTCTGGTGTCCCCCGCCGTGATATTGCTGGAATATTGCTAAAAGCGGCGTAAAACCATACTCACTCACTTATTCACTCTTCATCTCGCAACTGTACATCACTAGTTGTGTTTTACAGTTTTTTGGGGGTACGTCGAGTAGCCTAGTGGTTAAAGCGTTCGCTCGTCACGCCGAAGACCGGTGTTCGAATCCTGACATGGGTACAATGTGAAGCCCATTTATGGTGCCCCCGCCATGATATTGCTGGAATATTGCTAAAAGCAGCGTAAAACCATGTCACTAGCAGTCGAATCAATGTTAATGGTTTTGAAAATATAGCTCCTCAATTTTGGATTTTGTTAGTACTTTTACAAGAAAGAAAGATTACTTGACGCAAATATCTTTACGCAGTTTTTTGTTTGTTATTGCAGTTTATCCCCATGCCTGTGTTGTACGGTGTTTTCCTGTACATGGGAGTGGCTGCCCTCAAGGGTATGCAGGTGAGTAGGCCTTATATCCATCTGTGCCAGTTCAAATAAATGGCAGTTTTACCTGGGGGTGAGGCTACGTACATTAACTGGTTATATCATTTGGTTGCGCTTAATGACCAAGATTAATAACCAAGTGAGATGTTACAGACAGGGGCTGTTTTTATGCCGGTTGGCATGATGGCGCGTTTCGCAAAAGGACGAGTTACATCATAGAAGCGTATGTATAAAGCACTGCTTTAATCAAAGGGCTGTGGATAGAGTCAGGTTCAATCACGGGGCAACGCACAGTGACTAGCTTAACAAGGCTTAAAGTCCTGCGAATGTAAGTTCTGCACAAGTTTAATTAGGGTTTTGCTTCCGCTAGTTTATTTACTTCTTTACACACATGGGGGCACTGGTGGCCCAGTCGTCTCAGGCGCCGCGATTCGCTGTGCAGAGTTGCGTCCCTTGGGCACGCCAGAAACCTATGATTGTGGGTTCGAATCCAGGTTCGCCCCGAATATGTTTCTAGGTTTGTCAGCACCATACCCGTGCCCGTGGGTTTCACCGAAGTGGTAAACGTCTGAGACCTGCATCACACGCTGCGATATAACTGGAATACTGTTAAAAGTGGCGTTAAACCTAACTCACTCACTCTTTACACGCATAATTTCACTTGAAGGTGTTCTTTAACCTTTGGTGTTCTCACAATCAAGGAAATTAATGTTCCTAGGGCATCCTTTCTCATGATATTGGTTATGAAGGCTGCGAGTTTCATTTCATCATTTCCAACTGATTCTGATGGACTGTTCTTCTTTTTCAGTTCATCGACCGTCTATTGCTGGTCTTCATGCCCAAGAAATACCAACCAGATTTCACATACCTGCGTCACGTACCTACAAAGAGGGTTCATTTGTTCACCTTAATCCAAGCCTTCTGTCTTGCCGTCCTCTGGGTCATCAAGACCATCAAGTCCGTCTCAATCATTTTCCCTATAATGGTCAGTATGACAGTCTCATGGCGCAGTTAAACTTCACACCGGCAACTGTTGTCTGAGAACTTTTAGTTCACTCGCATTTGGCCAAGGACGTCCTTCCACAACTCGGTATTAGCATCACGACTACCGGACATGTCCATGGATCTTTTTCAAATGTGGACCTACAGACCTCGCGATTCCTATAACATACATTGCCGGTGGGGATTCATAGTCGGAACTGTTCCAAAGCAACCTATATACACGTAACAGGCGACTAAATGGACTAGGTATCAGGCACAGGAACCCGATGATAGCATGTATAGCATAGAATATTCCTTAGAAAAAAGATCGAACCCCTCTATCCATATAGTCAAGGAGTGACACCCGCCATCTTGATCCTTATTCAAGATTTCGCACTCGGTTCGAATCACTGCACGACATCGCAAGAAATATGAATGTCACTTATTTCAGCCTATCGATACATGCTGAACGAACCCTCGGGTACACAGTTGTGATCATCCGTGGTCACCTTACCTCGTATTTATTTTGAAACAACCATCGGATCTCAACCCTAAGTTTCGCCGCCGAGGTAATAAAGACAATAGTGGCCGGAAATTACGGCAATACACGGTCTTGAACTGCACCAAACTGCCGGGCTAACGAAAGTAAACTCCCATGTTGGGTGGTAGCTAAAAACAAGAAACAAACAAGAAATGGTTATTTGATGGTGATGTATTTGATACGTGTGTCATAGGCTGTGTTTTGGACCTTACGTTTGCAGTATTTCGGTGACTGTTTTCAACTTTGTAACGTTTAGATAACGTTTGTAATTTTGGGGACAAATCAAGTTTTTAAATGTTCTTTTACCCAGCAGTTTCGTAACTTTCCGTTTGCATCCTGGAAGACTTGTTTGTGGAGTAACCTCATCACAGTCATATAAGAGGCTGAATTTGGATACCTATTATTTTACCTATTTATTTGTCAGCTATGTTTAACAAGACTAGTGTTGGACTGAGTTAACTGATACTCTATTAACTTCTAGGTTTTAGGCACCTGTTTCGTACGTAAGGGGATGGACTACATCTTTACCCAGCACGAACTGAAATGGTTAGACGACATTATGCCCGAGGCCAACAAGAAGGCGAAGGAAGATGCCAAGAAGAAGGCTCTAGAAGAGGCTGAGGTGAGTTGCCTCCCTTGACTCTCAGTATCAGTCTAACGTAGATGAGTTATCTTTCCTTGGCTACCGATCGCAGATGAGTTGTCTAGCCTGAAATATAAACATATTAATACATAGACGATAAGGCGTAAGTTTAAACCGATGTATCTTAAACAGACACAGATGCCAACTTGTTAACGTCACAAAAGACCTAGCTGTGTTTCCCAAAGAGTGAATTATCTCATTATTGGTGTTTATGCCATGCTTCTTCCGGACAATGGCCAACCTGTTTTGATTTAATTCGGAAGATCAACTGGGTTGTCTGGCATCAATCTCATTAAAATCCGATCTTAGTGCTTGCTACCCTACTACTTGTTTTTACTTTCAGTCAATGTCAATAAGGAATATAACTGCAACAATGCAACGTTCATCATCATTCACACACCCACTGCATAAAAGTTTAACCTTTTCCCTCTGTGTTTTCAGGACCTCCTACAGAACGACTACGACGACAAGATGATGGAGGTGAAGTACCACCAGACAAACCTGGGAGAAAAGTTCTCCCCAAAGACCAGGCGATTCTCCACTGACACTGACAGGGTAAATATCTCAGAAGAGATGTCCAAGACGGCTATCTGGCTCAAGATGAAACGGGATAGTGATGACCAGGGGAGGTAATCAGATTGCCCTCGGTGACGGTTTGGTTCAACCTCTTGCTTGTGCAACCTTGTGGAATGTCCTGCTTTCCCGACGGTGCCTTCACTATCCTGCATGCTTGTGTAGAGTAGATACGTCTGTGGGAGTACAATGTATCTTTGTATTTCTTATTGGTTTGGGTTGTTTACCTCCCTGTGTTCGTGTGGTCTGTATCTTCATTAGCTTGGCCTTTCGACGTCCCTCTCGCACGTTTTATTGTCCAGTCCCTTGATTGACGAAATCCTTCTTAAGACGACCATGTCCAGAATCGTATTTAAAACATGCAATTCCTTTGTTGAATTGGTAGTTTATTTGGCTTGGTGTCTATATTTATTATCTCTCATTTTCAATCCTACCGGATGGTGGGGTAGCCTTATGGTTAAAGCGATCGCTCGTCACGCCGAAGGCTCGGGTTCGATTCCTCACATGGGTACAATGTGTGAATCCCATTTCTGGTGTCACCCACCGTGATATTGCTGGAATGTTCATAAAAAGCGGCGTAAAACTATACTCACTCACGCCAATCCTTACCACCCCTGCCTTAACCCTACGCCCTTCCCCTAGAAGTAAGTTCTCACCCCTATAACCAGGGTGGTTTTATTAAATATGTGAAATGTCAGCTACTGCCTCTGCTCCCACCCTCAACAAATCCAACTCTCCGCAATTCCATCTCAGTGATGTGGACATCTTTGTGTAAATCTCGATCTTAACTTTATTTAGATCTGTGCAAAGATCACTGCTCTTAGTCAATGATGTCAAGCTTTTTCCCATCGACAGTCGCCTGACGTGGGTTAAATAAATAGAAATACCTCCGCTACGCTAAGTATGCCTCTTCCGCTTCAAGCCTCCTCGGCGTCCTCCGCTTCGAGGAGTTTTGCCTTCGGCAATCTTTGCGCTTAAACATGATTAGATATTTGCCGAAAGTAATGTATCCTTGTCGTTAGCTTTTACGCATGGCATGCTTCAATTGGGTTTTTCTGTTGACTGCATTATGCATCATATATTTTGCAACTATTGAACTGAATATGTTGCCTGTTTTGCATATCCTTTGTTAAGAATAAAAAAAGTCACTCCTATCATTTATTCTGAAAAACAAATGTTGGCTTCATTAGTTTAGACTTAAAAAGTAGTTTCGTGTTTGAAAAATCCTAAACAATATAAACGAAAGTATCTAAAAATATTTAGGGTCACAAACATTCTTTATCATACATTTAGATATGATTATATACGAAATCAACTTTAACTAAAAATATTCTTGAAAACTAGGAGACCGCTGTTGGAAGCGAAAGAATACACGCTAGTCAAGGAACAAAAATGGCGCTGTGCGAAACGAATAGTATCGTTTGACGACTTAAATGAGAAATGTACAGTTGATAACGAAACATTTTTGAGAGAATAACGAACGGCAAGAAGTGATATTAACTCCACAAATGACCATCTGTCATTGTTTTGCCTTGTCAATGTGGAACTAACGTCAAAAGGACGTCAACAGTTTGTGTACTGGCAAGACACTTACGAAAAAGGAGGGACAAATTAAGGGAAGGTAACTCTTGTGTGGCACTAGTTTCGTCACGAATGTTATGTTAACTGCAGTGAAATATCAAGTGTCATGTTCACTGCAGTGAAATATCAAGTGTTATGTTCACTGCAGTGAAAATATCACCCTTCGCAACTTCGGAAAACTCAGTCTTATTATCTTGGTTGTTTTATATGTGAAATCCCTCGATTGTATACTCAAAATACCGCCTATTTTGTGGATCGAATTTTCAGCACTATGTGAACAACTAGGCCTAAGAAACGCTGATAAATTGCAATGATTTTAAGAATCTCTTTTTCAACTACATGTACAAGTACGTCTGCAAGAGGTATTGTAATCCGTTTCCTAAAGTTTATGGAAAGTGTGCTTGACACTTAAAATTGTTGAAAAATGTTTCATCTACACATAAAGATCTGTAATATTAATAGAACAGTTTTGTTTTGTTGATCATGTTCAGAAAGGTATAGCATTTGCGGATTACCCAGGTGTGTTTGGAAATCATGTTTAAGGTTATATAGGTTTTCAGTAAGGCGGTATGCTTGAAGCGCGAGTGCCTATGCGTGTATTAGCTGGGCACTCTCTTGTATACAGAACCGTACCCAGGTACCCTTCAGTATACGGTGTTAAGATGGGTTTCAAGATTCCAAATGACAACCGAATTGCGAAGGGAACTGATGAGGGTGTGGCAGAGAGGGTGTGATAAACCCGGATAAGTCGACGTAGTTTGATGGTTCCACTTTTATTGAGTAAATTAATTCTGTTTGAAACATCCGAATCTTCTGCAGCGATGTTAGATAGGTCTTGTTCCGTTTGGATGATTCTTGGAATATAGTTAGATGTGTGGCCCATTGTCTTCCTGTAATCAGTGATGGATCCGGTGTTGAGTAACGGGCAAGCGTCTGTGCATTGTATACCTCCCATCTGGTTCTCGATCCCGACTGGTGCATCTGACGAGCGAGCCACTTGAAGAATTAGACATTACAATCATGTATTTGTTTGTTTGTTTGTTTGTTTGTTGTTTAACGCCGCACTCAGCTATATGACGGCGGTGGGTCAATAATCGAGTCTGGACCAGACAATCCAGTGATTGATGTCATGAGCATCGTTCCACGCAATTGGGATACGATGATAAGTATCAACCAGGTCAGCGAGCCTGACTTCCCGATACCGTTAGTCGCCTCTACGGCGAGCATGGGTTTCTGAAGACCTATTCTACCCCGGATCTTCACGGGTTTACAATCATGTATATTTAAACTAATGTTGTCGTTTATTGCTTGCACAGTGCATGTTTATTTATGCATATATTTGTTTGAAGCATTATGTTAAGAAAATATTTTAATAATACTTCGAGTCTTTCAAAGACACGACAATTGTTTCCATAATGAACGTCGTGCATCCGTTACTGACTTTGTTAATCTGGACGATCTCATTGGGAATGTAACCGTCCAGTTTATACGGGTTTCACTGTTGCATTATTATTTGGATTGATACATACTGTCTGTGATAGACATACAGGACTTAAGAACATGACATGAAACATTCTATAGATAACAACGTCTTTATTGTTGGTAACGGCGTATCAGAGAGTAAGTGAGTGAGTTGGGTTTAACGCCGCTTTTAACAGTATTACAGTTATATCGCGGTGTGTCAGCTTCATGTGGGAGGAAAGGCCGAAGTGGTGCAGGTCTCAGACGTTTACCACTTCGGTGAAACCCACGCGCACGGGTATGGTGCTGACAAACCTAGAAACATAATCGGGGCGAACCGAGATTCGAACAATCATAGGTTTCTGGCGTGTCCAAGGGACGCAACTCTGCACAGCGAATCGCGGCGCCTGAGACGACTGGGCCACCCGTGCCCCCGGTAACGACGTATCATGGTGAATGATGGGACAAGACGTAAACAAGAACCCGTTACAAACAAGCACGTTGTTATCCATAAATGTTTCTTGTTTTCATAGTGATACATACTTACCGCAGCAGGGTAGATTATGTACAGACATATGTTATTCAGTAGTAAAGGCCAAATGGCCCACAGTACAACTAAACTGAAGTACAGTAAACTATGTTTGTAACGAACACGCTTATAACGATTTGACGGATATACCGAAGCTAATTTTTGGTCCCGTCCATTTGTTGTATACATTAAACTACATTTATAACGAACACCCTTATAACGAACTGACGGATATAACGAACTAAAATGTTTACTGTAGAATATTTAGATGTTACGCATAATGAACATGTATTTGGGCAGTTCCGTGTAGAAATGTTGAAATGCTCATTGTACTTTCATATATTCGACGCGCTTGACGTATATGACGTATAATTTTCAGGTCAAAGCGCAGAAAGTCTGAGAAGAATGGACGAAATGGACATTCGGACGCCAGTAAACCTAATTTCTATATGGGAGACGAAGAGGAGGCGAAAGAAAGAGAAAGCAAGATATGAACATCCACACCAACTTCAAGGAAGGCTAAAAAATAACCCAAAGAGGGCCTCAATAATCTTTCACTGCGTGTCTTCCATTGGTCAAACTCGCTAGGGTTAATTCAGTGACCTTTTGACCCGACGAAAAGGTTGTCATATTTTCTCAGAAATCATATTTAAGTGCACTTATGAACGTTACAACTGATTTCGTTGAAAGGAATAGATTTTTAGACGAAAGAAAATAGGCATTGCCCAGAACAGGCAGTATGTGTGCTTATTAACCTGATCGGTTGAGTAGATGCGTTAACATGAATTATATATGTCCATTTTCCAGTCGAGTTGTTCAATGCGTAGGAATATTTTCAAATGACCATAGAGACAAACCCTTTGGTCACATTTTCACTAATTGTTGGGCTATGCAACATAAATAATTCAGTGTAAGAGTTAAAACGTGCAGGAATTATGTCCTTTCCCACAATGTACATATTCGTTAAAATACCCTTTGATTGACAGCTGTCACCCGCCTCAGTGAATGTACATTTCAACACCATAACGTACCAAGGTGCCTTTCACAACAATGCAAGATATGAGATGTGTTTACTTTCTTATTGTGATGCTGAAATCGGCCTCGTGTATTTTATTGCGATTGATTTGACGGTGGTTAATCTATTGTATGATTAAGGCCAGATTATATATTTAGAAACTGTAGGCAAGGAGAGCATTTATGTCTTCTCAATTCCAACACACGTGTACATAGTATCGTTGTTATTTTGTAACGAAATGATCCTTTGGATTATATTCTAATCACACAGAAACATTTTGCTGACAAATCAAAAGCGTAAAACAAAATTGGACAACCACAGCAATATCTTTTGAATGTGCATGTTTAGATTTAATTCTTTCGTTAAAATGTTTCAATTAAGTTGGTTTAACGGAAATTAATCCTAGACAGTGTTCATACAGTGATGTCGGTAGTACAAAATGTAAATATAACAATGTCTGTTTATCTATATGCTATTAAGTAATTGTATGAATTTCACATGTTAGATGTATGGATTTCACCTATCAGGCATGACATCACATGGCGCTGTGCAGAGTTTACATACCAGCTTCGGGATTTCACATGACAAGTATGGATACCAGGTTTTAAATGTGTACACACATCCAATTTCAACTGTACAGTAGTCAAGTGCTACATACACAGAATTCATATGTCAGCTATGTCAATTTCATTGATCATCTGTTAGCGGCAGGTTTGGTTGGAATGTCATGTCTAACTGGATGGATTTCACATACTGTTGTACGGATTTCACTGTACTATCACAGTACACGGTATGGATTTCACTGTACTATCACAGCACATGGTATCACACTGTACAGCGAAATCATCAGGGTGTTAGATTAATATCAGATCCCGAAATATATATTTACCAAAGATTGCAATGTGTTACCCGGACTCTAAAAGTTGTATATATTTTGGTTAATAAAGTCATGACAAACTATTTCATGCTTCTGTTTCAAGTTTATTCGTTATCAAATAGTGAACCCCCAATTTACCGGACAGTACGTTTTCCCATGTAATCGTCTGGATAAACGCATGTCCGGACTATAAATTCCTGAATATTGAGTAATGGTAGTGAGTGAGTGAGTTTGGTTTAACGCCGCTTTTAACAGTCTTCCAGATATATCGCGGCTGTCAGCTTAATGTGGGAGGAAAGCCCGAAGTGATGCAGGTATCAGACGTTTACCACTTCGGTGAAACCAACGAGCACGGGTATGGTGCTGACAAACCTAGAAACATAATCGGGGCGAACCGGGATTCGAACCCATAATCATAGGTTTCTGGCGTGCCCAAGGGACGCAACTGAGTAATGTTAGTGTATTGTTGAGGGGGTCATTGTTGTCCGGAATGATGGGTTTTGGAAATCCATTGTCCGGATTAACGAGGTTATACTGTAAACAAACCTTAATGGTAAAGAGAGCTTTTCATGTTAATATAGTTGTTATATTCAGAATGGGTACTGTTGGGACATCACCAGTTTGTGTTGATTCCGGTGGACGCTGGCAACCTTTTGTTTGGTGCGGGATTTATGTACACTGATGGAGGTAATCAACATCATTAAGCTAATAGCTTTATACGTTGATATTGCCATTGGCGGACTTTATATACAATGGTATCTTTACAAAAGTAGCTATCATTCTCGTTAGCACAGCATTTTGCTCCCGCGTGAGAGTAATATATTTAGACGGTTATTTTAACGTAGTTACATTCCATTAGGACAGAAACTGCAGCTGTTGTCGTGTGTGTGGGTGTGCGTCTGTGTGTGGGGGTGGTGGTCTGTCTGTCTGTCTGCAGTGCCGTTGCCACCCGGGGGGGGGGGGGGGGGGGGGGGTGTACTTGTACAAATATTTGCCCCCCCCCCCTCTCCTCTGTCAGTTTACTACGTCCTTGGTCTGTTTGTGAGAGAGATAGAGAGAGTGACCATGTGACAAGTCGAAACCAGAATTCTCAAAAAGCCTTTTGACAGAAGTTTATTTCAAACAAATAATCGTGTCAAAGCAAGGTGGGCATGGCCAAATGATACGTTCTTGGATACGGATTGGCCTTTAATGTCATAAATTGCATGGAGAGAATGTACAAATAAATCTCAAGCATTGTCACGGCATTGCCACTGGAGAGAGAGAGAGTAATCTATGTCAATTGTAGAATATACTGATGGAAATAAATAAGGGAACGCGTAGTTTTAGACACAGTAAAATTATATGCTATGATGAGTTCCCAGCCTTTTCTATTGAAACAATGCACACAAACAAAACATTTAATTGACATGTTGAATTTGTACAGGTAACAGACAGTAAAGCTTATTTCTCTATATCTTCATTGTTCTGTTATTTGTTTCCATCAGTATTTATGGATTGACAGTTTACAGTCGTTTATCTCCACGTGCATACAGTAAACTACGGTTATAACGAACTTAAAAGGACCACTAATTTCAGATCGTTATAACTGTAATTCGTTATAAACTTATATACAGCTTATATACAGCAAATGGCTGGGACAAAAAAAAAGTTCGTTATATCCGCCAGTTCGTTATAAGCGTGTTCGTTATAAACGTAGTTTACTGTATACTGTAAAAAACCTGGGAGATGCCGGGCTAGATGCTTGTCGGTAGATTTCACCTTGCACCTTTAACGTCATTGTAACAATAATATGTTTTGCTTGTAATGTGTCCCTTAGTTCACACACGAGTTCCAGTGAAACAATTTCTTTTGAACAATGCACGGTATACACCAACAGTGTTCCATACACAACTACATAACGCTTACACAAAGTAAGTGCTTGTGCAGGGCAACTCAATTATTGTGTGTCGCACTGCTTCTATCGCAAGTTTTCAAGATATAAATTTCAAGAGCTTTGTACTTCTGCAACTCTTCTTTAGGTGGCACTTAAGAATCTGTTTGAAAGGTTTGACTGAAACATTAAAACTAACCACACGGAGTGCAAACAAAACGAATTTCCTGAGCTTTTTTTACTAATAAGCAGCAGACTCTCTGCACGTGTACACAAAAGACCTAATTTAAAATTAAAATACAGTTTTTAGCTCATGTGCTGAGACACCGGTACAAAAAAAAATGTTTGAAAAATTATGTTACTAAATTACTACATACATCCCCTGGTTGATAGTTTTATAATAATGAGTGCATTTCAGAACGTTGCAAAAATTGTTGTTTTCCCTTTCTGCGAGAGACATGGTAGTCCGTGCCTCGCATTCTGTAGAATCAAAGAATTACCGGAAACGCCCATGCAGCTTTAAGTGGAGGAAATATGACTTAAGTAGCATGCATTGGGATGGGCATTAGAAGGAAACATCTTGTGTATGACGTTCAAGACCGGTTGTGTAGGTGGACACTCAAAGCATGTAAATAAGTCCCCGACGAGGCCGAAGGACGATGAGTGCAAAAGGGGAATAAATAAGTGCTGACTTTAAACTTTATAGATGTGAGTTTCTTGTGGCGTGGCCCTTAAGTGTCCTACACTGGTTATTTTTTCTAATTTAGAAAGAAAACAGCCGCTATACAAATTAAAAACGGCCCATATGCTGCGAAGAAACGCTATTCTACTCTTTCAACGCAAGGGAGTTTTGTTTGTTTGTTGGTTGTTCAACGCCGCACTCAGAAATATTCCAGCTATATGTCGACGGTATGTAAATAATCGAGTCTGGACCAGACAATCGAGTGATTTAGCATAAGCATGGATCTACGCAATTAGGATCACATGTCTCAACCAAGTCAGCGAACCTGACCACCCGATCCCGTTAGTCGCCTCTTGTGACAGGCCCGGATCTTCACAGGTCTCGTGAAAGTTAGAAGGACTTATAGGTTATATGTCACAACATTTATATTCTGCAGTCTTCGGCATCGTGGCTCACTGTCACGGTGTTGTGCTCCAATGATCAGGGGTGTCATTATACGAGAATAAAGTCAGAATACAAACGGTTCACGGGTTATTACCAACTACTAATTGTATCGGTAGATGACAATAAAACGACCAGATAAGCCCAATCTGCGCTGACAAAGACCACTGATTTATTAAATCAGAGCAAATACACAAATGGCTTAGCTAAGCAGCTGTATTACAGCAACAAAGTTAGAGTAGCTAAAACAACATTTTGACAAGATACAGACAAGATGCACAGACCGCTAATTAAATCGGCTGCGACCAATTAACACCTGCGTTAACTAATTCAACCCTCTAATGAGTGAATAACCTCGGCTGGGTTAAATAACGGGAAATAATATCCGTAAAATAAGTCACTTGGACAAAAAAATAGACGAGAACGTTTGAATATCAAACTAGTCTAATTGATAAAAGTTTCAGTCACTTTGACTGAGCAAGGAATTCCTAAATCCTAAATTCCTAAAAGTTAGACAATCACGGGAAGGTTGGTTATCCACGGACTAAGTTTAGCTCATTACAATAACAGTAAGTCAGAACCAGATCAAAAGTGCCCCTAACGAACCCTGAGTTTCGAACGACCATCCAGTAGCATGCCAATCGTTAACGAACGAAGCTTCGGGGGCCAGGCACACCATCTTGAAAAAAAGATTAAATATACTGCGCGCGGACCTCGGAGAAGACAATCTCTCCTGGACAGCCGGGTGAGGTGAGGTGAAATTGGGTTTAACGTCGCGTCCAAGATTATTACACTTATATAGCGACGTGCATGCACGTGTATGTGTGTGTGTGGCTGCTTGTACTAGTCCGGACTGATGCCGATTTATAGTGCTAGCTCACTGAGATACCATGCCGCAGTTTAACATGAATACCCCACTCAGACACAGTATACTGACTCCGAGCCGACCAGTCCTTGTTTTAGCCCCTTAATGCCGAGCGTCAGACAGGGTAACAACAAGTACAATCTTATAACGTCTTTTTGTATGACGCGGCCCGGGATCGAACCCTGGACCTTCCGCTCTCCGGGCGGACGCTCTACCACAAGACCACGGAGGCGGTCTGGACAGCCGGGAAGTATAATAGTCTGGGGCGCTTATCCAAAGTGTGTGTTTCTTAACATGGGGAAAAAACACGAACAGCAAACTAACTTCTACAACCATACTCTTTCATGGTAAGAGTATGCCATTAAATCCCAAGAGAACTAAATATGAGGGTCACTAATTCTCTAACTTAGAATGCAATGACACTGTAAGGCGGCGACCGCCGGACCTTGCCGAACGGTGTCGGAAACCGGACAATTAAAGCCGGGGAGCGGTACGGTGACAAGACCGCGACACGAGCTGTATTACAATCCGGTGACAGTCACCAGTCATGAAACTGTGTATAAAATGTCAGGGAGTCTACATACGACTCTCATACAGACTCCTTCATCACGAATATGGCTCGAGATACGAGTCACAGGCGCCATTATAACGTTTGGAATATATTACATACATTTTCCAAATTTCTTTGAAGTGGCACAATGGTAGCGAAAGGTGCATGATACAAAATTGCATTGAATGATATTAATTAGGTTCTATTTCAAAATAAGTAAGTATTGGTAACCATAGCTCAAGTGCAGCGCGTGAGTCATTCGAAACTCTCCCTTCGATAGAGCTACGGAAAATAGATATCGCTGTCGGGAGCTTGCCACTGGAAAGACGACTACTCCAAGTTGGATCACGAAGTTCAAAGTCGTAGCGACTGATGTTTAGAAACAGTCACAAATATGAAGCTGAAATATTACAACAATTTTTATTGATGCCCTATCACGGTGCCATTGCCAATACAGTGTTGAAGTTCTGTACCAAGTGTGACACTTATTTCAAATATTTTTTTTCGCGATTCCTACACTTGTTCTTAAATTCCCAGACCAACGCCTCCAAAAAACCAAGCATTGTTTTCGCAACTCGGGGACATATTTGAGAGAATATTGCGTTTGATGCTTCATGCGAATTAGACGTTATTATCAGGAGTACAATCTAATGGATCAGGATGGAATCAAGTGCTGGGGACATCGCTCGTCGATGGGTCACTTCCGTCAAGGTATAATGTGACGTCACAATGTGTGGATTTTTTGGTTTGGTTTGGTTTGTTGTTTAACGCCGCACTCAGCAATATTCCAGCTATATGACGGCGGTCTGTAAATAATCGAGTTTGGACCAGACAATCCAGTGATTAATATCATGAGCATCGATTCACGCATTTGGGATCGATGACATGAATCAACCAAGTCAGCGAGCCTGACCACCCGATCCCGTTAGTCGCCTTTTACGACAAGCATAGTCGCCTTTCACAGCAAGCATGGGTTGCTGAAGACCTATTCTACCCCGGAATCTTCACGGGTCTCACAACGTGTAATAAAGCAGTATGTATTATTACCTTTCGCTCGTCCATAGATCACTTCCGTCAAGGTATAATGTGACGTCACAACGTGTAATAAAGCAGTATGTATTATTATCTTTAAAAGGGTAGGGTATACATGTATTCGTTTTATTCCCACAAAAAGTACATCCTACCTGTATGTTACTCATTCGATTAATAATGAGTCTTAAACAAATAAAACAAACAACGTCGTATGGTTGTGTCTTGCACCTTACGTTTGCAATGCTTCAGTGACTGTTTGAGACTAGTAGCGTGTTGGTGACATTTGTAATGCGAGAGAGATTCAATTTACAACTGTACACTTTCTTCTGCCCAGCGGTTTATTGTTTACACACTGGAAATATTGCTGTCGTGTTGTCGGGGACAAAACTTGTATCATACTCAAGGCTGAAAGCACCGGCACCAAAACCGGAACCTGTTGGCTTACAATATAAACATCTAGCACGACAAGATCCGGTTATAACATTCCCGTTACTGGATCTAGTAACGGTTGTTTCATCTGTCCATTTCAAGTAGTCCACAACCTTCAAACCGGTTCTAGTTGTATCAATCCGGAATGAACCAGCCTCTTTTGCAGCGCATGATAAAGAATCACGGCAATCCACTGTACGGCCAAAATTTCCAAAAAGGCCACTGGTCATCGCGAATCTGAAGCCACCGTGAAGAAAGGAAAAGTTCCAGGGGTTAAACTTGACTTTACTGAAAGTTGTATTCCCTTCAAAGGTTCCGGACCAGGTTGTCGAACATGCCTCATTATCGGTATCGAGAAAGTAGGAATAGTTCTCCCCGAACAAAGTGATATACGACTCAGGGCTGGTTGTAGCCATACCACTGCAGTATACTTTCACATACGGATAATTCGCAAGTTTTGCGCGAAACCAATATTCACCGTCGATGTAGTCGTTGTTGCAAGCCTTGAGGTCCGCGCACGTGACGACGCGCTGACAAGTGAACGCGCTCCACGACCCGTCCGACTGACACAGCCGCTCCCCCAAAGGTTCGAACCCAGGTGAACAGTTGTATGAAACTGACTCGTTGATATTCCAGAAATCCGGGTTTTCGCCAATCTGTTAAGGACAGAAATGCTCTGAATTATCACTCTTTACGAACGGTTGCAAGTTTCATCATTAGAGAATTCATTGTGAGTGTTTTTAATGCATGAAATACCCAACTAGGTCTCAAACTGAGCTTTGGCGATACAGTTTTGCCTCAACGTTTGTTTTTTGACGCCGCACTCAGCAATATCCCAGCTATGTGACGGCGTTCTGTAAATAATCGAGTCTGGACCAGACCACCCAATGAATAGCGTCATGGGCATCAATCTACGCATTTTGGATAAAAGGACATGCATACATTAAGTCATCGAGTCTGGCCACTCGATCCCATTAGTTGCTGAGAATTAATTCTAACCCGGATCTTTACCGGTCTGTTGCCCCAGTGAAAAAATGTGCACCCAAATTACAGTCTAAGCTCATCGGGGTGTATATCTTTGACATTAAGTATTTTGTATAAAGATTATCATCTATTGTCAGTCTGTGAAACGTAAGCTGAAAACGTAATCTGATATCCGTTTATCAAAAAAATGTAAAAACGTATATGCTCCCCCCGAATTGAAACGTATGTGTTTTTCAAGACAATCACTCTGTGGCGTCTACGAGCGACCATCGATATGTGGGCCCTGTTTCTACATGCCTGAAAAGCGAGACGTGGTACGTGTGTGTGTGTGTGTGTGTGTGTGTGTGTGTGTGTGTGTGTGTGGAAGATTACCAAACTATTAATATCTAATGTGAATGTTTGTTTGTTTGTTCTTTAACGCCGCACTCAGCAATATTACAGCTATATGACGGTGGTTTGTAAATAATCGAGTCACGACCACACAATCCAGTGATTGACATCGTGAGCATCGATCCACGCAATTGGGATCAATGACATGCATCAACCAAGTCAGCGAGCCTGACCACCCGATCCCATTAGTCGCCTATTACCACAAGCATAGTCACCTCTTACGGCAAGTATGGGTTGCTGAAGACCTATTCTACTCCGGATCTTCATGGATCTAATGTGAATGGTAACATTTGAGTGAACGCACAATGTCTCAGTCATTCAGACTCTCCCAGTCTCACTTAATCATCTAAAGAACTGGCAACCGGTGAAGGGACGTGATAAAACTGATGACGTATTGGTGCGTGGCTGCTTGTACTAGTCCGGACTGATGCCGATTTATAGTGCTATCCCACTAAGATACCATGCTGCAGTTTAACATGAATACCCCACTCAGACACCGTATGCTGACTCCGAGCCGACCATTCCTTAAACCCCTTAATGCCGTGCGCAAGACAGGGTAACAACAAATACCATATTTTAACGTCTTTTGGTATAACGCGGGATCGAACCCCGGACCTTCCCCTCTCCGGGAGGATGCTCTACCACTAGAAAGACGGAAAAGTTTGCTCTGGACAACGTTGAAAGGACTTGGCACTTATGTTGTTGCACTTATGTTGGTGAATCGCCAAGTCTACTAATAGCGTTATTTCTCGCACTGATATTGAGCCTTCCGTGCTGCTTTTTAATTCAGTTGAGCAAACGCGTGGCAAATTCTTGAAACTGATTCTCCTTTACCAAGAAAACGAATCAAGCAAATGTCAGAGGTCATTCATATTAACCGTTTTGTGACACTTTATCAGCAAAAAGAAGCATTCGTGACCAACTCGTGTTATTCCGGGACAAGCCGAATAGCGACTCGTGCCCCTCTCGTGGCCATTTTTACGACCGGGTTCCGTCTTTGCGCAAACGGGCATACCTAAAACATTTATCAACTCGTTGCGTAATGGTTCACACATTTTCCCCATATATTATATATATTTCAGATGCAATTTAAAGCACATCAGGACGTGCCGATTTATACAGTATGATTGAACACATTTAACGGAGTCTTTGGTATATTTTTAGATGCAAGACATATGTAAAATCAAAAATTATTTCTGAGGGATTCTTTGACGAAAAACTTGAAATCATACGCGCATTCTGATTGGTTTGTCGTATTTTCGCACATAACATTCATCGATAGGGGGACGAGTCTTCTTGCAGGTTACGGAAAGTGGCGAGCGGTGACGAATTCAAAAAGAAGGTTTTATTTTCATATAGCAGTGCAACTAGAAATACTTTCCATACACGTAATCTACTTATGAACATATTATTACCGTCTTTGCGATTCTTTCTTTTCTCGTTCCCACCTCCCAATTCGAGAACTAAAGGTGTCTAACTTACCATTTCTCCTTTTGACACAGCTGGTGGCTTCCCGCAAAACATGGTCACGCATTCCGATTGGGTGCCATTCAGCTCCTCACAGACCTGATTTTTCGAGCAATTGTGTTCTGCGCATGCTCTAGGGCGTTTTGATAACCACACATTTATATCACTGAACACGTAGTCCTTTATATTTATCAAGTCTGTGGCTAAAGACTCATTTTTCGTTTTTTCGTTCATGATACATAGGCCGGAAACCGTGTCAAAGTTGAAGGATGCGCATCGTCGATACATTTGACACTCTTCCACACATTTAAGAAGACTTCCGGTTGATGTGTTCCGAAACTGCGCGTCAAGAAGGTAAGCATCCTGTTCAAGTTGCGAAAAGTTTTCGAGCGATGAACATACTGTTGTTTGTCTTGTCGCCACCATAAATATTTTCAGCAGTAAAAGAATTACCAGCATGGGTTTATCCATGGCCGTCAGAACGATTTTCTATCAGAAATGTAAAGCGTCAACGTGATCTTGAAAAATCACTGATCCTGTAGATTGTTTCCCCTGAACCATGCCAGGCTGTATTCCCTCTCTGTAATCATCTGTGTGCGTTTTGTGGATCGTGTAACCGCATTTCTTCTTTTGTCTGAAAACGTTTGAAGAAAAACCTATTAGTGATTCACTTGTTTGACATCATATCGATTTTATCCAAGCTACGCCTTCTAATACTGCCGTTTCACCTTCGCTTAATAAGAAGATAAACATGTTTTCATGTCATTCAAATCGAACCTTCACCCAAGTACTGAATGGGCCCAGTGTTTACATCACATTAGACAGGAGATATGGAATAACCCAAGATAAAATCAACGATGGCATACTATTCAGTACGAAACACATAATTCCGAAGGAAACACAGTGGGAAAGTCAGTGGGAAACACTTCATAGGAAAAACCCACGTCAGTAGAAAACACAAGTCAGGAGGGGAAACCACACGTCAGTAGAATACACACACGTCAGTAGAGAACACATACGTCAGTAGAAAGCTCACAAGTCAGTAGAAGGCACAAGGCAGAAGAAAACACACGTCAGTAGAAAACACACACGTCAGTGGAAAACACACACGTCAGTGGATAACAGTCTTCTACTGACTTATGAGTTTTCTACTGACTTGTGTCTTTTCTACTAAACTGTGTCCATAACATGTTTTTTTACTGACGTGTGGTTTCTACTGTGAGGTGTTTCCTACTGACGTGTGTGTTTCCTACTGACATGTGTTTTCTTCTGACTTTTGCCTTCTACCGACTTGTGAGCTTCCTACTGACGTGTGTGTTCTCTGCTGACGTGTGTGTTGCCTACTGACGTGTGTGTTGCCTACTGACGTGTGTGTTCTCTGCTGACGTGTGTGTTGCCTACTGACGTGTGTGTTGCCTACTGACGTGTGTGTTCTCTGCTGACGTGTGTGTTGCCTACTGACGTGTGTGTTGCCTACTGACGTGTGTGTTCTCTGCTGACGTGTGTGTTGCCTACTGACGTGTGTGTTGCCTACTGACGTGTGTGTTCTCTGCTGACGTGTGTGTTGCCTACTGACGTGTGTGTTGCCTACTGACGTGTGTGTAGAAAAGACACACGTCAGCAGGAAATACATATGTCAGTGGAAACACACACGTCAGTCGAAAACACAACAAATAAGTAGAAAACAAAAAAATCAGTAGAAAACACACGTCAGTAGGAAACACACAAAAATCAGTAGGAAACACACACGTCAGAAGAAAACACACACGTCAGTCGAAAACACAACAAATAAGCAGAAAAAAATCAGTAGAAAAGACACGTAAGTAGGAAACACACAAGTCAGAAGAAAACACACAAGTCAGGAGCAAACACAAATCAGTAGAAAAGACACGTCAGTAGGAAACACACACGTCAGTAGAAAAGGTATCCTCCCAGATCGCCTAATTTCTCCCCACAAGGTATCAAAATACAATTAGGTGATGTGGGTATGCCATGCCTGGATGAGTTTTATAATTAGGTAATGTGGGTAGTTGGAACAGTCCACTTTACTGAATGAAGGGATGACAAGAGAGCCAGAGATAATCATACATATTTTAATCAACAACATATTATAACAAGTAGCCTCTATCAACAACTACATGTATGTGTCTCTCAGTGTCTCTGATTGATCAATGTGATTTCCAGATGCACACCAGTTAGTGTCCATTCACCAAGATTGTGAGCAACCAGGTCAACATAGTCCATGATTAAAATGGTACCAACATTCAAACTGTCTTTAGCCCTTCTTAACCGTTGGTCAATGGCGATGCCCTTGTAACGAGAGACAAGTCCAAGGTGCTGACCTCTCCTCCACAGAGCATGGGAAAAGTGAAAATAACATCAACGTATCTGAATGTTATCAAAGACGGCTAATGCTGCATTGGCGAAGGCTTTCTCAAAGTCTATCTGAAGAATCAGGGGCCTGAGGTTGAGATGCAGCTTGTCTTGTCAGAGATGTCTTCAGTAAACGGAAGGCTGTTGTGCAGGTTTCTTGTGACTTGTTGGGCAGAAGAAAGTCCACTAATGGATGCATAATTCCTTGAAACTCTGCATGGATGGAGTATGATTGTAGAAACAAACGAGGTGATGAACAGAAAGTTCCGTCAGCATACATGATGTCCGCATTGCACAAATGTTCTAAAATCTCTCTTGTGGCAAAGATAAGAATCTTGTCATCTTCTCCATAGTCAGCAATCAGACACTGTTCTCCTGCGTCAGTTCTTGTCCAGCCTTCTTCCAAGTGAACTGTTGATCTGGTCTTTGGAAGTCCGGGTATGTTCTTCTGTCTTTCTCTGTACATAGGTGACCTCATGCTGTCAAAAGTTGGAAAATGGCAGAGATATTCCCCAGGAACTTCATCAGCATGTCGTCTGAGGTTGGCCAGTTCATCAGCATAAATACCTGGGATAGGCGTAGTCTCAGTTCTGGCACGATCAAGAAGCTTGCTTCTAAAGGCATCAACATGATGGAGATAAGGAGCGGATTGGTGATTGTGGTCTGGGCCAATCTTTACTAGTCTGTCCACAACCCTTGCAAGTAGCCTCAGTACACCTCTAGTAGACTGCATCATTCTTCTTTCTGTTCACTCTAAACTTGTAACCTCCACGATAAGCATATCTACCTCCCCGAGGATGAGGTAGAAAGGAGACTGCCCCTAGAACACTTGCCATTTTGATTATGGACAAAAGGGCGAGACATTTTCCTTTTATATCTGTGTATATCCTTTTCTTTATTTGAGAAAGGCAAAGTTTACTGATCTCTCTATCTCAGTGGTTTAAGATTCTTTACCCATGTGCAAGCTATACAACGCTAATATTCCCCCTTAAGAGCAGTTTTGGTTTAAGGCTTAATCTGCTATGAGGTGAGGTGAGGTGAAATTGGGTTTAACGTCGCGTCCAAGATTATTGCACTTATATAGCGACGTGCATGCACGTGTGTGTGTGTGGCTGCTTGTACTAGTCCGGACTGATGCCGATTTATAGTGCTAGCTCACTGAGATACCATGCCGCAGTTTAACATGAATACCCCACTCAGACACAGTATACTGACTCCGAGCCGACCAGTCCTTGTTTTAGCCCCATAATGTCGAGCGTCAGACAGGGTAACAACAAGTACAATCTTTTAACGTCTTTTGGTATGACGCGGCCGGGGATCGAACCCCGGACCTTCCGCCCTCCGGGCTGACGCTCTACCACAAGACCACGGAGGCGGCATAATCAGCTATGACTTCCCCGTTGCTCAACAGGGTCAACTCCGGGAGAGCGCATGGATTAGTGATCAAACAGATTAGGCAATCTGGGCTGACCAGTAATTAGACAATGTGGGTATTAATTGGTTTAGGAAATTAGACACAAGTAGAAAAGACACAAGTCAGTAGAAAACACACACGTCAGTACAAAACACACAAATAAGTAGAAAAGACACGTCAGTAGAAAACACACGTCAGTAGGAAACACACGTCAGTAGAACACAACAAGTCAGTAGAAAAAAATCAGTAGACGACACAAGTCAGTAGAAAAACACAAATGTCAGTAGAACATAAACATGTCAGAAGAAAACACACAAGTCAGTAGAAAACACATATATCAGTAGGAAACACAAGTCTGAAAAAAACACACGTTAGTAGAAAACAAGTTAGTAGAAAACAAAAAGGTCACTTGAAAAGTCACAAGCCAGTAGAAAACACACGTCAGTAGAAAACACGCACACCAGAAGAAAACACGCGTCAGTAGGAAACACACAAGTCAATAGAAAACACTTAAGACATACAAAACTCACGAGTCAATACAAAACACATATCCATTTGGATTGAACCCAAAGCTTGAGATATAATCCTCACTTTACCTTCGTGTTGTGGAGCCCCGACGTTGTGCCATCAGTGTCAGAGCATCTACACAACTCAGAATATCTTATACTCGGACTGTTCACATGACTTTATGCTCGAGCACGAGTAACGACCACTTCTGTCAGTTTGCACTGACGTCGACTAATATTGCATGCATCTCTCCGGCAACAATGCCACAGCCTCCCTCTTTTGTTGTCTCACAAAAAAGAGAATTCGCACAAAGCTAATGAACGCGTCTACGATGAAAGCAGAGCTGAACTACCACACTGCATAAAGGAGAAAAACCATTAACACGTTCGGTATAATACAGCGCATTAGATGCGAAGGATTGGTTATTGGTAAGAGAAGTCTTACTTCGACATTAATAAACTGTAGTACCATCACGAGTGGGGTAGACATGGCTGCTGACAGTGAAATGCATTAGGCGCGCGTTTTGCGCACAAAGAAAGGCTTATTTCGGGACGTTCGTTTCTGAAAAGATCATAATAACAAAATCGTAAATCTACTCGTCCGAAGCAAAAGTTATCAGAACAAGCATCTAAAGCCATTTATTATATTCAGCGCCAAGGGTGGAAATTACATTTGTGAGTTGGATGTCAATAACACATTTTCGACGCTATGGTTGAAGCATTTTTTTTTTACGGTCGCGAAACGTGGGAAAAACTCTCGATAACAGAAACAATACACCTTCGTTTTCTTAAACACCTTACGTCACTAAGAAAGAGTACTCCACAGTTTTATGATATATGGGTAATTTGGAAAATTTCATCTTTCTAACGTAGTCAAAATTAAAATGATATCTTTTTAAGCAAGAATTCTGACAGTATGTATAAATTTCTTTTTAATGATAACTTAATGGGAATATGGAATCAAACATGGATGACATGCATGAAAGGAATGTTTCACGGACTCGGCCTTAGTAACATGTAGATAACACAACATTTTCAAAGTCAAAGTTATCTTTAAAATATAGTTAAGTATAAATAAAATTGAATGCGGTTGCAATCCTAGATAGGTGTAAGAGATACATCTTCCAAATTATCCACGTAAAAATTGTAAAAAATGACTTTAAATGTTGAAAACTATTTAAATAACGTTAGGAGAATTTTAAGTTGGAAACATCTAATCACAAATTACTAGTTGAAGCAGGCAGATGAAGAATACCATTCACTGAAAGACAATGCCCACTCTGTATGACATATGTGACGAATGTCACTAATTGTTTATGTGTCCTTCATTTGAAAAAGGGAGGGAACAAGTAATTCATAAATATTATTATATTAAACCTAACATGTTTAAAATGAATTTACTTTTTCACAGCGAAGATAAGGAACATTGAGAAAACAGTCTAATTTGTGTAAAATAATCATGATATGGTTCAAACCTGGAAAGAATATTTCATAAATGTTTGTACAAATTTCCAGTTGTGTATTTAGCCTGATCCGATTGCTCCATCTTCCTGAGTCAAGGGCGTTACCTGACTATACAAGTCCAGTTTCCACGCTTGCCGAATTAGGATGGAAGTTCCAGGCTTGATCATAGTGTCACCGGTGGCTATTACGAGTTATGTCCCTTCTATGTCCTTCCTATTGACCAATAAGATTCCATCTCTCATATCACATGCATGTGCTTCAAACAGATGGCGGCGTCAAGACGATATGATCGATAAATCAAGTTCTATTTTGTAATGACCGGGTCCTACCTCGGGAAATGCATCAAATCACTTGAGCACCTTGATTAAAAACATGAAAAGATTTGCAAAATATCTGTCGCCGGTCAGTTGGTGGTTCACATGCTTTACAAATCCTGCAGTCGACCGAAATCTGCGCGTTGAAATCCATGTTGTTTACGAACCGGATGTCTAGCTTGTTACGCGATTTTGATTGGACCATGCATAGACTGGTTTGTCCAGCTAAAATGTAACTCCGGAATTCCAGCTTCGTACGGCAAGGGTGGAAACTGGACCTTTATAGTCAGTTAACGCCCTTGCCTCGGGAAGATGGACTGCCCGTAAAAGAAGTTTATGACATTACAATATTCCTTTTTTTGTACATATATTTTGTATAATCAATACTTGAATTGTACCTATAATGTCGCTGCTAGCGACCTGAGTGTGAATAAGTTCAGTTCAGTTCAATTTGCATACATCCTACCATCGCTCCGCACCGCCGTGCCTGCGCTTCGTACCCTGGCATCAACGTTTTGAGGCTTCGTATCGTGTCTTCATATCACGGGGGGCGGTCGGGTAGCCTAGTGGTTAAAGCGTTCGCTCGTCACGCCGAAGACCCAGGTTCGATTCCCGACATGGATACAATGTGTGAAGCCCATTTCTGGTGTCCCCCGCCGTGATATTGCTGGAATATTGCTAAAAGCGGCGTAAAACCATACTCACTCACTCACTCATATCACGGCTTCGCGACATCGTATCATCGTATCATCCATCCTATCATGGCTTCGCACAATCACATCATCGTTTTGCGCTTTCGTATCGTGTCTTCACATCATCGCTTCGCAACATCGTAACATCGCATCGTGACATCCTGTATAATCGTATGATGGCATTGCGTGTGCGTATCATGGAAACATGCAATCACGCAGTCGGTTCGAGTCGTATAATCGCTTCGTGTCATCACATAGTATCATAGTGTCATTGTATTTTGCCTTCGTATCATCGCACGCAGACATCTCATCAAAGCTGCCTGCACTCGCTCCATTACGTCGCGCCATAGGCTCTACTGAACCAAGTCAGTTGTTCCTTCAGGCGCTTTCATAGGGAGCCTTCAGTGCAGATTGAGACATCGGTCAGCTGTGATTGGAGGATTTTGTCTAAGGTTTTCATAGGTATTTTAAGAATACATCTATATAGTAGTTAAAACTGACCCTGCTTTTCAATATTTAGTGCTGTCTCTTTCAACACGATGACGTATGCTGAATGTGACCATAGATATATTCAAGTTAGTTTTCATTCAGTGTGGAACTGGTGGTGGTGTGTTTAGCTTCCTGTATTCGGGAAAGGAACTGACTAAGATGGCTATTTCTTTTCTTGTTATAACCGTTGTAAGACCAGACCGTGAACACATGTACATGTAACAGCTGTTGAATGCCTTGATATTTAGATAATATAACGTTACTGTAGAAGTCTGAGGGAAATCATTTTGCCTCGTGTAACCGATACCGTTGCTTCAAAATGGCAGAAATGAGCTATTATAGATCATCTCTAAGAACCGGACATTAAACACACAAGTCTACAATCACGACCATCGTCTAATTTGGATAAATCGGGAAATATTGATTGAATTTTGTCTCTGTTTACGTGATACGCGCCTGAGAGAAGGTAAACAAACCTTGCTGTGGAAGATACAATAAACACGGGTGCATCAAATAATTGATCCCACTCTCAATTCGCTTTTTAACTAAACAAAGGGTCGATTGATATACAGCTCAGTACATGCTAATCAGTACATGCACGCATTTGTTGTCAGAGACATAACGTGAGGGCACGTCAGTCCAGTAATCTTTACACAATCACATTAATACGAGGTTCTAAAATCCATACACTGTGAAAACAACGTATAGAGATTATCCTGTGGTCTTTCTTAGGTTTCTCACCGGGGCACGGGTGGGCCAGTCGTCTAAGGCGCCGCGATCGCTGTGCAGAGTTGCGTCCCTTGGGCTCGCCAGAAACCTATGATTGTGGGTTTGAATCCCGGTTCGACCCAATTATGTTTCTAGGTTTGTCAGCACCATACCTGTGCTCGTGGGTTTCACCGAAGTGGTAAACGTCCGAGACCTGAATAACTTCGGGACTTCCTCCCACATTAAGCTGACACGCCGTGATATAACTGTAGTACTGTTAAAAGCGGCGTTAAACCCAACTCACTCACTATGTTTCTCACCAAGCTCGCCCATTCACAACATACCACGTTATTTCCTACGAAAGCCTAATGATGCCACTTAAGTGGCATTAATGTATTTTTTAAATCGCCAAGTTCTCGTTATTTCAACTATGTTCTCGCAATTGCAAGGTTTTTTCTCTCGTTACATTGATTATTTATTCGTTATTCATGATCGAAATATCAAAAAAAATAATCGAAGCACCGAGAAAAAAATCGAGATTTTTAGGTAAACTTGAAATAACGAGGACATATTCGAAGTAGCAAAAAAACCCTCGTTATTTCGAGAAAATAATTGAAATGACGAGAAATTTCGATTTAAAAAGAATAAATTAATGCGGCATTAGGCTTTCGTAATTTTTCATCATAAATGTATTATCAATATGTTTCTATTGTGTCCTATTTATTTATAAAGACCAAGGAAATATCCGTTTGGGGGGATTTGTCTTCTCTCTACAGCCTAAGAAACGTTCTGAAGAATATTAATGTTATCATTGTAAATATGTTCAAATGTCTCTTTTGTCTCTTTTAACTTCTAAGCAGAGTGCGTTCATCTCTAAAGCGATTCTAGCATAAGCACGGAGATATCATGATTTAAACGTCTATTATCAATCAAAACATAGCTGTACTTTGATGTAATACGGGACGAGGTATGGTGGTCTTCTAAAATCGACAAATTTTAACGCTTGCCTGCAAATATCAACATACTTGTATTTAAAGTAAAAACAATGTTCCTCGGCATCGGTGCGACAATTAGGGACCGATCATTTCATATTGAGGGGGAGCTGGGATTGTATCGAAAAGAATATGTTGACCCAGAATTTGCTCCAAAAAAATAAATTATGCGTTACAATGTTGAAAAGATGAAGAGGAAAAATATCTCCACACAAAACCCTCAAAGGTCAAGTCTTGCAAATTGTAACAAATTAAACCGTTCATAGCTGCAATGATGTAGTTGAATTGTACATGACGTTTGGAGACAGAATTATTAGCTATGAAAGTATCAATAGAGAAATGGCATTTCACATTTATCATCAGAATGTTTCCTGACATTTCATAGTTATCAGTGGATTGTTTCAGCATTGTCAGCGATTAGTTAATGAATCATGAATGAGGTAGGACAGTTTTCATTTGTAGAACCAGGAAGTGAGTTACAAAATAGATAGAGGCATGCTCAATCTAGTTCGTAGGTTTCAGTATTTTATCCGATTAAGACACACATGAGTTCATGGTCAGATCTAACTTTTATCGAATCAAAGTTAAGCATTGTTGCATGTG